GTAGTGACACTTAAGTATTAATGAATTATATATGCAAACCTTCAATCAAACAGATTATACTTTAGTGTTTAAAGTAGATTTTCTTGGTAAAGCATTTAGTTAACACTGAATTTTATGCTCATATTTTGCAGATGTTCTGAAATTAATAAATATAAACTTTATCCCTGGATCCATCAGTTTAGCAATAACCGGAGATCAGCTGATCAGATTCGACCCATCTTTTTCCCTGATGTTGACCCCCACAGTCTTCCTCCTGGTTCTAACTTTTCTATGACAGCAGGAGATTTTCAGGAGATTTATTCAGAATGCAGTAAGTCCAAAGCAAGCATTTTAAAGGTCTTGTCCTCTATTCTAAATTAATGAGTTAATTAATCCTAAGCCAAAGTTTTGGTCATTGATTTTGATGGTAGAATATAAGGTATACTTCAGTGCTAATTTAGAATGTTTTCAAGGTCATGTACAGGGAATGATAGGAAACACAAAGAAGTATAAGATATCTACAATCAAGAAATTTAGAATCTGTTGAGTCTGTTAATATAAGAGCATGTAAACAAAGTTCAAACGAGTAATTAATGCAGTGAAGATGAAGGTTTAGTGTGAGAAGGGAACTCTTAGGCTGTGACGAAGGACAGGGAGGAATGGTATTCGAGGCAGGCAGAGGTACAAAGATATAATGAGTAAAGCGATTGGGGATGGCAGCACAGTTGGACTGGCAGGGAAAGAGATTTAAGGGGAGATTTAATGGGAGATATGTCTGGAAAAGTAGGTTCATTCCAAATTATGAAGGACCTTTATAATCAAGCTGTGAAGTTCAGAGCTCAGTCTAGCAAACCGTTGATGAAATTTGAGTTAAGCATTAGAGAAAGGGAGATCGGCAGTGAAAGGAAATAGAAAAATAGAATGCCGAGGGGTCAGCAAGATCATTCAGTCAACGGATAATTTGTGTGAATACCTATTAAGTACCAGGTGGTTCTAGACAGTTGAAAGAGAACAGTGAACAAAACAAAGTCCCTGTCCACCGGGAACTTCCAGTAGGGAGAGCCAGGCAATAATAAATAAATATTATATTGTGAGGAAGAAGAATGAGGCAGGGTAAAGGGGATACAGAGTGACTGGGAAGGGCTGCTGCTCTCTTTATATAGAGTTGTCAGGGAGGTCTGTCTAAGAGCAGAAACTAAAAAGAAAAAATGTCAAGCAGACAATCTCAAAAGAGTGAAGAGGCAAGCCATTTGAATATTGGTGGTGGGGCGGGAGGTGGGGAATGTCGCAGACAGAGGCAGTAGGGGTTAGAGAGGATGCTTGTTCTGCTCTAGGAGGAGCTGGGGTATAGTAAGCAACGGGCCTGGTGGTGGGAGCTAGGAGAGGGTTGGGTGAGGCAGACTTATAGGCCGTAGCAAGGACTTTAAATTGTAATCTGAGGAAGACAGGACGTCATTGGGAGGCTCGGAGCAGGGAAGTAACAACATAAAATGTTTTTATTTATTTTTTTAAAACATAGAAAGTTTTTGTTTATTTTTCTCTGAGATTGAGACAACTTGTACTCTGAAGGAAGAAAGGGAGAGGTGGAAGATGTTAGGTACTGGGGATAAGGAGTGAAATAATGGAAAATATCACTTAGGCAAGTAAAAATGCTTTTCTTTTGGAGCAAGGTTTGAGAGAGCAGATGTCTAGGGTAATCCTAGGTGGGATCAAGTTACAGTTACTGCATCAGCATTTGTACAGACACCACACCCCTACACCTTCAGTTGGATCACTCTGTTCCAGGCCACAGCCTCCAAAGAATCAAGCAGGGTTCTCACCTGCTGCTTCTGTGTGCTCCTGGCTCCACTTTTTCCCTGATTATCCAGAATCATGTGTATGTTTAGGTATTTTTATGTCATTCATGTCTCAGTTGGCAACTGGTGCCTGCAGGCTTTCTGAAACCTACCAGAATTGATAGTTAACCCTAGTTTAAATGGAAATATTATTATTTTGTCTAAACTGATTTTAAGTGAAGGCTAGAAGTA